CTGCTGCTGGAACTGTCAGAGGAATAATGAAGGCGATGGAAGGTGCTCGGAGGAATTGCGTACACGGTCTCTCATTCGTTTGAAACGGTAACATCAGTGCTGGGGCAGCAACTTTCCAGATGGGATGAAGCAATGCTCGTCTCCCACACACACACACACACACTGTAGTTTTTATTTGCAGGTGTCCTCAGTGTGCAGTAATCATCTGCATGCTTTTAATTTTCAAGGCAGTAATGGACTAGAAGAGCGACCATTGGCACTGAGTTGCTGCAATTTGCAAACTGATGGAAATGTCCTGGCAATGCTGAGTGTGCATGTAAATCAGTTCAGTCAGTAAAAGTCACTTCTGAAGCCATGGGTCTAAACTAGATGCCTGTCATACCTCGGAAATATACATTAAGACCTTATGCAAGAAGATAGGAAGCTTTTAGATGCTTTATTCACTGAAATGGAAGCACATAAGCGTATATGTGACTCTCTTATTACTTATACTAAGTAACTAACACTTACAACGTTTTACTTCTACTACTTACATTTTAAAACAGAGCCACCTTCCCAACATCAAGACAGATTTCAACCTCAATGCACAGTAACACGAAAAAGACGATTCCCTATATATCTATTGATGAATGTCACGCTAAATAGATGTTACACAGCATAAAAGAAGAATCCAGATAAAACAGACAAGAGAGGGAGAAGAGGTTCGGTGAATATGTTCGTAACAAGGAGTAACAACTTAGAGGAAAGTAAGAGTCCGCCAACATCTCCGATAACATTGACAATGAAACGAGGAATACTTCAAATACAATGTACACATTTCCTCACAAATCTGTTCTTGCTTTAACCATGTATGTGTTTATTTTATTTGACTTAAGAGTAGATTAAGTTACATATCTTTGAACGATAGTTATGTGACATGAGTTTCAGTTTGCTTTGCACAGATACGGCCCAAAGAAATGGCCTTCAGTGGCGTACCTTTTACTTTTATACCTTTCAGAGCCCGTACTTTTACTTTTTTCATACTTTTTCTTGAGTTGTTGTTAACACAAATATCTGTACTTCTACTTGAGTAAGGAATGTGTGTACTTTTGCCACCTGTGTCCTTATCTAATATACAGACATGAGAGTGGTTTTACTCCTCTCGCTGAATTTATCACTTCCCCAAAATGTAAAGCTATTCTTCTCCTATTCCTAAATGAGAAAATATTAAAAGTGGCCTGGCCTCTTTTAGGTTGTAGTATATTTATTATAATATTGAATGAACATCATAATTGATTAACTTAATGTCAGTAGCATTTTAGTATTGTTGGTGGTCGATGTGTTGCTAATTATAAAATATACTGTACTACTGGGTGATAAGACAGCATTTGTTTTGGATATAAAAGGTTAATGAGCAAATCATCTACTGTAATAACTATATCTGTCATATAAACAGATAGGAGTGAAATGTAGTGGTAGTAGAAGTAAAAGACCCAATAAAAAGGTAATAATCATATTGCTAATAACATTCAACTGCCAAACTTTAAAACAATTTATTATTGTCTTTTCTTTCACATCTTTTTTCCTACAGTGTTTCTTTTTGAAAGAATCCTGGGCATTAAGAATGCATATGTTAGAACCACAACCTTCCCAGAATCCCAGAACATAACAGTGACTGCCCAGTGACCCTTTTAGAATGGCACCACACTGTTGTGCTCTATATCCCTTCCTTATTATATACATACATATTTTTGTGCTGTCACTCAAATCAAGATCAAAAATATCATATAACCACTAAAATGATGCTTTACATAGGCCTACTGTATGTAACTAGTAAAACTGCTATGACCTCTGCAACCACACATTAATGCTGAGGGCTTTAGTCAAGTACTAAGGAAGAATATGATTTATTTCATCATTCAACATGTAAGGCATTTGTATGCAAATGTCAGTATGCAATGCATGTTTGTGTCACTTATTTTGAAGAGGAGGAAAGCAGCCAAGGTCAGTCAGTGATTACTGACGCAAGATTATCATCCGAGAAGTGATGGATGTCTGTGCTCTTTATGGATCACTTGACTCCATCAAACTCCATCTCTTCCTGCTCAGGCGTTCCTGCAGGAACTGTATGATAGTGAAGCCTGGTTGTGTTTTACAAAGTCAATCTAGTTAGAAGGTCATATGGTTTGGAATACTGTTGCGCCGGCAGTTTGCACAAGCGTACATGAGTGAAGGTGGAATTTGCATTGTTTTGTTGTATTTCTGAAAATAAAGTTAAAAAGAGAATACATTTATATGAGCATTACAAATACTAATCATACGTGCATTTTCTGATCTGTGCTGTGACAGAGAGAACTGCACTGCATGCTATAACTGTAGTTGAACTATGAGGTTGACTGTCTGTGGAGGATATAAACATTACGGACATAGGCTGAGCAACCGGTAGCTCACAGTAGAGGGACAGGGCGAGTGAGCATTTGGCAAATAGTGCTGTACACACCAAGTTAGAAATCTCAATCACAATTTTTAGCTGATGAGTCACTGTGGAGTGACAAATAGAACATGTGCCGCAGCCACAATAAGTAATGGGAAACTATGTTTGACTTCCAGCAGTTAAAAAGCAACATTGTTATACTTTCGGAGTTGTTTCTGTGGCCACCATTTGAATGTTAGTCCAATATTCATTATTACTTTACCTCCAGTTTTGGTCTCCACCGCTTTTACCTCTGGGAGCAAGCTGCTGTAGCTGAAAACCATGCTGTTTGAGCAGTGAGAGTGAACCAGTGGGAAAAGCAGTGGAGCAGATGGTTTTATGAGACAAAGTAAGATGACATTTGGAGCCAAACAATCTTGGAACACGTTCGCCTTTGGGAGCAACTGGCAATATTTTGGAGCTTCTGGTATAGAGAGTGGATATTCAGGCCAAGTCTCAATCTTTCATTTACCGTTCACTGTTCACAGTCTAAATAGTTTCTTTGATTACATGAGTCAAATACAACACAGACTGCGGGCAATCAAAGCCTGCTCAAACTTGATTGGTCAAACTGGGAACCGAAAGCTACAGGCCCCAAAGTCTTGTCCCTCACCTAAGGACTCTGCATATTCACACAAAGAAAATTATGTGTGAATAAATATTATTTTTACTGTTTTCTACCCAGCGTGATGCTTGATTAAATTTTTGAACTTGTCAAGTCAGGCATCAGAAAAGGGTGCAATAGCACTAATAGTCTTTGTCAGCCTCTCTCCTGTAAACATGCCTGCCGTCATCCTCTGTTGGAAGTTTCCAGGTGCGTCAGCATATGTCTGTATTTTAGTCTTGTCTCGTCTCCTTCTCCTTGCCTGTCTGTAACTCTTCTCTTTTTATCCCTCACTACGCACTTCCTCTACCCTGTGGCATTGCCTCCTCCGTCTTTCGAAGTTGGTTATTTCCGTCTAATGCCAACTATGTTGCAGCCCCTATGCATATGATGAAAAGCTTTTGTTTGTCTTGTGGTCAAGGCAATTTATAATTGGATTATGGAAGGTGAAGGGAAGCAACCATGGTGACGTTGGTGAACGGGCAGGTTGCCTCTTTCTCTTTTCTGTTCCTTTTGCTTTCCGCCGTCCTCTTTTCTCTCCCTCTCCCTGTGTTTTCTGAGTGTGACAGAGACAGACCACACTGATTAAAAGTCATTAAAACACCCTTCATGGACTTGTCTGGCTGGAGTTAACAAATGCAGTACCTAATCTCAAGTGGATTGGTGAAAATGCTGCCGTGCAACAGTTTAGGAATGAGGATGGTGTGAGATGTAAGTGAAGGAGGAGATGGCTGGAGGGACCAGATGCATTAGTTGGAGGAGGAGAGGTGCTCTGGAGGTAATTAGCTTCGGCTAATTCTCTAAAGTGAAGGTTGATCCAGCTGAGAAAATGAGCTGCAAATGCCCTCATAGGTGTAATGGCTTTTTCTGTCTGACAAGAGCTTTATTATGCACACCCTCCGGTTCGTGCTGCAAAATACCTGAGGTGATGTTCATGTGTGAGCTTGGTGGTAATTAGTATTCACATGTGTGGTTATGTTGTCAGGTGCAACGCTAACGCTGTGCTGAATAGAAGAGCTCAGCAGTTTGCTGAAGTTCTGGCGGAAACAATTTTTTCTCTTTGTGCATTTCTCCTGTGTAAGGTCCAAAAGCTCTTGCTGAACTTCAAAACTATAAATATTTAATGCGTATCTGCAAAGCATATTAGAATGAGCATATAACTGTGCTACTCAAACAAGTGTTTGTTTTTGTAATTTTTAAACTATATTTTGCAAATAATGGATGATGCTTGGTGCTGCTGAGTTCTGAAAATAATCAGAGGATTGTAAACCCTTACATGGCTGCACAACTCTCTAAATGCATTTTACTATCATTGTTATTATTACTATTACTATGACATACCTTTTTATATTATACGATTCTTGACGTGTGGGTGTATGTCTACAGTGATTTTTTTCAGCAATTGTAAAGATCCACATTCACTCGGTTATTGTCTTTTTGTGAAACAACTCATGCGTTTTATTCTTAAGCTACGATATCTTCACTTTTCTTGATTCAGGAGGTTTGTAGCAGGACTTGGATTCAAAAAGATAAAAGCCTGAAAGCGTTTTCTGCATGGCATTACGTTTCTCTTGAAACATGTGATTTAAGATTATGGAGGTTTGTGGTTATACTATATAATAACAACTATATTGCCCATGGGTAGAAGGTGGAATGTTAACAGCACCGAATGTCCCTGACCATGTCTGTAAGCATAAAACACTAATCTCAAATTATGGTTTTGTTTGTTTCCTTCATTTCAGTGTGGATGTATTGGGTTACTTTTTAATTTTGTAACAGCCTTTTCAGATCAGGGTGTTTTGACTAATTTTGATTGGTCAACCAATCATACCACCACATTACGATATATAAATTATGTATAATGCAGTCTGACAATAATTGGTTTATTCATTGACTCTCAGTCAAATTTCAAATGTGTGTCTTTTCTTCTCTCCCTCTCCTCAGCTCTTCTCCTTCTGTATGACGTAACTAACAAATCATCCTTCGACAACATCCGGGTAAGAACACTTGCACTCGTCTAAAACAGTTCAAGTAACAAGGTCTCAGGTACAAATGGTGATTAGTTCTCTCTGTGTGGTGACCTGACACAGTGAGGAGCTCAGTCATCAGGGAGTTGCTGATCAGTATGTTCAGATATTTGATAAAAGATGTCTCCTAGGCATCTCTCCCTTTTCTGAAGTAGGAGACCCTGACACGTAAAACACTGGAGGGGTTATATTTCACCTTGCTTGGAAATGTCTCAGAGACAGA